AGTTCTCAATCCTTGAGCTCGTCTGTAGATAAAGGATGGTTTTTGTGGAAGAATGGTTTTTAATACAGGATCTTTACATAAAATTGGCCAATGTCGTTTAAAACATTTTTATAATTGTTTATATTTTTTTTGTTAAACCTAGTAATAAAGGCAATAGCCTGGAACTTATTTTCTTTTTTCACTCAAATAAATCTTCTCTTTCTAAAAGTCCTACTTCCTCTCTAACGTTTCTTAATTCTTCCAATTTATATCCTTTTTCTGTGAACCTGTCTATAAGGATATCACTTTGTTTTAGATAATCTTCTCTCAAAAGGCAATTTTTCCTTATCCTCAAAAATTGCCCCTTTGGAACGGCCTTCTTTCATTTTAGATGGTGCCAACTTTTTACCAATATATATCCATTTCTATCTGTATTTTTAAAAAATATTTTAGTACCCAATGTGTTTCCATGTTTGGATATGGTAAGATCTAGGAAGTCAATACTTTCTTGATGGATGTTCACAGCGAACTTGATACCATATGCATTGGAATTAATGTGTGTGATCAATTCTTCTAAGGATTCTTTAGTTCCTTGCCACACCAGTGTATCAGTGTATCTCTGGTAGACTTGTAAAGCAGACCAAATTTATTCCATAAATCTCTTCCTCTTCCCATTTATTAAAAAAAAATATTTGCCGCACTAGGAGAATATTTTGCCCCCATAGAAATGCCACTAGCAATATGGTGGATCTTACACTTCCTGAACACGATTTTTGATCAAAACGCATTGAGGTTTGATGACTCAACGTCCGCTGACGTCACTTGGCGTATGGAACGCACGCCGCTCCGAGGATGGCTTAGTACAGCGGCTTCCATACACACAAATAAGGCTGAGTAGACCAGGTGCCGGGCAAAGACACTATATTTGTGAGTGTTTTTCTATATACTTATTCTACAGTTTTACACTATAGGATTCCCTTTCCTGTTCTTTTTGTGATATATCTACTTCAAGTGTGCGGGGACCTGGAGATAATCAACTTCATTGGGAAATGCACCACAATTGCTGTAGACCACTCTAGAAATAGATGGTCATCTGCTGAGGGTGAGTTTTAGTCCATGTGGGGCACCTTTGAGCACTGCGGAGCACTTTAAATTAGCTGAATAAGTGAAGCACCATAATTCAGTTGGTACTTGTTTCTCCATTTGGGACTTTAATTAATGGCAATTATGCTGTGAACTACTATGATGGTGTGAAGTTTGATTTATAGATGTTTTAAATTTTTCTGAAAATACATAGAGGATATGCACACAGGATATGTATAATCTAGATGTGTGGTCCAAACACACACAAACATATATATATATATTTTTTTTTTCATATTGTGGTGGTATTGCACATTTTCGGGACTGCTGCATTAGTATTAATGTTTGGTTTGTACTAAATTGTGTTATATTGCACATCCATAAGCGCATGAGCTCTATTTTTTGTTAATCTTCCCCCTTTTGCTGGCTTCCTATGCTATTCACCATATTACATGGTGCTCCCTGCAGTACCTGTGCCTCAGCCATTTTACCTCCTTCTCCACCATTTCTTGTTACCTTTGCTTTTTTGCTCATTCTATTTGCAGTTATTCGAGATGTTGATTGATGCTTTCACAGTTTCTGCCCAGATGTCCTGTAAGAAGACCCATGGGGAACTCTGCTTTACTATAGTGAAATAATTGGAACACACTTTCCACAGGTGCTATTTTCTAGAGTTGCTTTAGCAGTTCTTAGATTGTCTCAAATCCACATGTAGTCTCCTCAGATTAAATAAATGATGAATAGCGGTGAGAGTGAGAAGCTACTAAACTGGGTTAAAGCAGCTAGAAAGTCAAAAGCAGAGGCAGAGTGATGGCAGAGAAAAAGCCAAGTGGTCCATCAAGTCTGCCCCATTTTTTTGTAACTTTTTTGTCTAAATCTATGTTTTTCCCATGTGCATGTTTAAATTGACTTACTGTTGACTGACTCGCTACCTCAGCTCGAAGTCTGTTCCAAGAATCAACTACTCTTTCAGAAAATTAATATTTTCTAAGATTAGTTTTGAGCTTTCCTTTGAACTTTGAGTTCATATCCCAGTGTATTTGATCTTAGATTCATACCAAAAGGAGGAGTGTGGGATAGCAAAAAAATACATACATACATACATACTCAGCTAAATGGCTGCAGCATCGATTCAATGTTGCAGCTGTCCCTGCCGGCTCTAAGACCAAGAGTGGCTATCTCAGGCTCTCTACAGCAGGCTGAGAGGCTGATCCAGCTGCCAGCCAGGCATCTGAGTGGGTCCCAGTATTATTGCCAGGATCCCTACAGTGCCTACATCGGTTCTGTGGCATCAGCTGATAGAGGGCTTTAGCAGAAATCCGTGCATTCCTGTGACCCAGAAGAGAAGTATGGCAAACAGCTTTAGCCATATGTCTGTTTGAAAATGCTGCCTTACTGAACCTTATTCACACCAGTGTATTTAAAGGTTTCACTCATGTTCCTTCTTTCCTTTATTTCCTCATGTCTGTAAATATTATGCTTCTCTCCTGATATGTTTTATCTCCTAGAGCTTTCACCATTTTTGTTGTTCATCTCTGGACTCATTATCAATATCTTTTTTTAAGAGAGAGAATTTCAGAACTGGACACAGTATTCTAATTTAGGTCTAACTAAAAATCTATATAGGGGGATCGGGGCCTCCTTCCTCCTGCTGGTGATCCCTCTAGTGACATACACTAGAATTATTTTAGCCATTTTCACTGCCTGGCCATGCTGTTTGCTCATTTTGAAATTATCTGAAACCTCAACGCTTTTTCCTCTGTTGTTCTTGCCAACACTGTACCCTTATATTGCACTCTATTAAGTGATTATTTATCCCTAGGTTATTTTACATTAGAAACATTGATCTGCAGTTTTCATTGCTTTGACCAATCATCCAGCAGTGCCAAAGCATGTTCCAGGATACAGACACCTCCAGGAATATCAACCCTATTGCACACCTTTGTGTCATCAGCAAAAATACATACCTTACCCAATAAACCTTTAGTTATATCACTTACATATACAGTACATATATATTTGGACACAGGCACAATTTTAGTTTTTTTTCAGGAATTTACTAAAACATATTCAAGCTATAGTTATATAATGAATATGGGCTGAAAGTGCACTCTCAGGTTTAATTTGAGGGTATGTACTGTATATCCAAATTGGAGGAAGGGTTTAAGATTTACAGCTCTTAAGAACAGCCAACCCCCCTTTTCAGCAGGGGACAAAAGTAATTGTACAATTGAATCAAAAGCTGTTTCATGGCCAGGTGTGGGCTACTCCTTCATTATTTCTTCATTAATTAAGCAGGCAAAAGATCTGGAGTTGATTCTAAGTGTGGTATTTGCATTTGGAATCTATTGCTGTGAATCTACATCATGCATTCAAAAGAGCTGTCCATGCAAGTGAAGTAGGCAATTGTAAGGCTTCAAAAACAAAACAAATCCATCAGAGAGGTAGCAGCAACATTAGGAGTTTGGTACATTCTGAGGAAAGAAGAACGCACTGGTGAGCTCATCAACATAAAAAGGCATGGACGTCCACGGAAGACAGCAGTGGCGGATGATTGCAGGATCCTCTCTATGGTAAAGAAAAACCCATTCACAACATCCAGACAAGTGAAGGACACTCTCCAGGAGGTGGCCGTATCATTGTCAAAGTGTACAATCAAGAGAAGATTTCATGAGAGCAAATGCAGAGGGCTCACCACAAGGTACACATCATTCATAAGCCTGAAGAATAGACAAGCCAGATTAGACTTTGCCAAAAAACATCTAAAAAAGCCAGACCAGTTCTGGAAAAGCATTCTTTGGACAGATGAAACTAAGATTAATCTGTATCAGAATGATAGTGTGGAGAAGGCTTGCAACAGCTCATGATCCAAAGCACACAGTGTCATCTGTAAAACATGGTGGAGGCAGTGTGATGGCATGGGCATGCATGGCGTCCAGTGGCACTGGGTCATTGGTGTTTATTGATGATGTGACAGAAGACAGAAGCAGCCTGATGAATTCTGCAGTGTTTAGAGATATACTGTCAGCCCAGATTCAGCCAAATGCAGCAAAGTTGATTGGACGGCGATTCACAGTACAGACGGACAATGATCCAAAACACACTGTAAAAGCAAGCCAGGAGCTTTTGAAGGAAAAGAAGTGAAATATTCTGCAATGGCCGAGTCAATCACCTTATCTCAACTCAACTGAGCATGCATTTCATTTGCTGAAGGCAAAACTAAAGGTAGAAAGACCCACAAAGAACAACTGAAAGCTGGCAAAGCATCAAAAAGGAGGAAACCCAGTCTTTGGTAATGTCCATGGGTTCCAGACTTCAGGTAGTCATTGTCAGTAAAGGATTCTCAACAAAATATTAAAAATTAACATTTTATTTATGATTATATTCAATTGTCCAATTACTTTTGGTCCCTTGAAAAAGGGGGGATGGCTAATGTTAAGAGCTGTAATTCCTAAACCCTTCTTCCAATTTGGATGTACATACCCTCAAACTAAACCTGAGAGTGTGCACTTTCAGCCCATGTCCATTATATAACTATAGCTTGAATACGTTTTGGTAAATACCTGAAAAAAAACTAAAATTGTGCCTGTGTCCAAATATATATGGACCTAACTGTAGATTCAGTAGAACATGACCTAGTACAGAGACTTGTGGTACACCACTAGTGACTGGTCTCTGTTCTGAATGAACCCGAATAACAATCTTTCTCTGATATCTACCTTTTAACCACTTCCCATCTGGCCCATGTATATAAATGGCCGGACAGGAGCAGTACAGGAAAGGGTGGCCATTTATAAACATCCTCCCGCATTCCCTGCCTGTGTGCGCTCCCTGGGAGCACCGTGAACACCGATCGCTGTACGGGACCTCTGTGTGAGGTCCCGATCATGTGATCACTGATTGGCCAATCAGTGATCACATGAATAGTAGTAAGCAAGATGTCACTTGCTGACATCATTGCTTACTACTAGTGAAATCTGTGAATGATCACAGAGGTCACATGGTACAAGGCTATTCACAACAGCCTTGTACCATGTGACAAGCTATGACCAATCACAGCTCTCGCAGTGTTTCTCAATGGCTGCAAGAATTCAGAGAAATGATTGCTTTTTCAGCCTTTGTGGGTGTAAAAGCAATCAATGAAAAAAAAAATCTTTATCACCCCCCACAAGTATGGCGACACTGTACTGCTAGGGTGACAGTATATTAAGAAAATAAATAAGTAAATAAATAAAAAATTTACATGAAAGTTGGCCTGGACAGGAAGGGGGTAAAAGTGTCCAGACCTGAAGTGGTTAAAGAACTGCGTATCCATAGAACCACTCAAGGATTACAAGCTGGTTGGTAAGGATTTTTTTTAAATAAGGTCGTTGTGTGGAACTGCATCAATGCTTTGCTGAAACAAGATGTTCCACAGCACCATCCTGACCCAAAACATTTGTGATATAGTCATGGAATTAAATCAGCTTAGTCTGAAGTGATGTGCCCTTATTAAAGCCATGCTGTTTTAGGTCCAACAAGTGTGTGTTTTTTAAGTGATCAATGATCCTTCTTTTTAGCAGTGATTCTAATAATTTAACTACAACGGATGTTAGACTCACTTGCCTGTAGTTGACAGATGTTGACATCATCTACTTTGCTACCCTTCTTGTAAATAGGTACAAAATTAGCTGTGCACCAGTCATTGGGAACTTCTTTTGTTAAAGAGATTGATTAAAAAGATCAGGTAATAGACCAAAAGCTATACTATGACATTCTTGCTGGCAAAACCCCTGACTTTCCTTTCAACGTTAGTATTTATAATTCTAATTTCTTTTGAAGTTCCAACATCTTAGGAAATCATACATAGAAAGAGACATGTAAAGAAAAATCATAGCAAAACTGTGGAAGAGTAAGATGAAACAACGCTAGCATTTTTTTTATCTAAAAGAGTTTTTATTAATATTGAAATGAGCATAAGGCAACAACGTTAATTCTGACAAAGACATGCACTTATGTTGTAAATATTAAGTCAAAAGAATAGATAAGATCCACATCTTAGCTATTAGCTTCTGCAAAAAAGGTGCACAGATAAATGTTCCAAAGACTCAAGAGGACCCACGAGGCTTATTAAATTATTTTAAATTTTTTCTGCCAGTAAAAAATATTCTGCAATACTCAGATGCCTTCCACTTTGACTACTGAATGGCAAAAAATTGCATAGAAACTGAAGTATTATGCAATGCTCTGGGTCTAGCTACTGCAGATATTAAATCAAAACAGCAATGCTTCACAAGATTTTTGCATTGCATTGTAAACCTGTTCTTAGTACGATTGTATGTAATTCAGTCAGGAGCCAGCCCGTACCTTGCCAAGATTTTCTCACCACCCTGAAACTTCTATGCAGGTTTTAATTTTAGAGGGGAAACAAAGCAAAAGGAAAAGCAGGTGCCTTCAACACAACCTAGAACTTAGTTAAAGAGACTCTGTCATCAAACTATGCCCATTAGAATACACATCTCTAGTTAAAGTACTTATCTTAGCACATGCTAGGCTCTATGTGTTTGAGAATACTTTGCCCCAGCTGAGCTTAAAATCTTTTTTAACTACCTTCAACACTTCAGACACATTCCAGACATACAGGGCTGCTTTACTTCCCCAGTCCTGTTGTCAGCCAAGGTCCTGGCAAAAGTCAGGGAAGATCTGAATTAACACATTGTGAATTGTGTGAGGTTTCCCCAGCCACTTGCAGGACATTGGCTAACATCAGGCCTGGGGAAGGAAAGCCTTCTGGGATGCAAAGACTCCACAGTGTCAGAGGTGATAAAAAAGAAGTCTGTTTTCAGCACAGTGGAGGCAAATCATTTTCAAAATAATGCAGCCAAGAATATGCTTATGTGAGTACTTTAGCTTGAAAACACTTATCCTAATTGGCATGGGATGGTCGCTTTAAGCAATCATTTCAGGATTATGTTAATGCAGGCATTTAAGTGTAATTTACTTTATCAAATTAGGGAACTGCCAACTCTCATTTTTACTAGCAGGTTCTCTTTATATATTAGAGTTTAATTTGTGAGTGTAACCACAATAATGCACTTGCAACAACAACAATTGAGTACTGTTCATGATATTTTTTTTATTTTCACTAACATTCAAATTTTCAGGACAAGCTTTTGTAGCGTAGCCACATTCTAAAGATCCAGGCAGTACTAATACTTTTAGCAGAATGATAAGTAAGACAATCTCTGGAAAAAAAAAACAAACATACACAGCAATGGTCTCCTTTTCTTATCTCATTTACCATTGCTGTGTATGTTTGTGTTTTTTTTTCTTCCCTGTATGAAAACCCTGAAAATGTGTATGTTAGTGCAAATAAAAAAAAGTTCACAGACAGTACTCAATTGTTCTTTACATATTACTTGCTAAATCTCAAGACAGAAGGATATAGGCTAAGTTGAACCACAGGGCCTTAGGTGAAACATCGTTGGTAAAATATTTTTTTCTGTTTAGCAGTTTCTGTATACTTAAGTGACCTCAACAAAGGTTAACATCATTTTTGGTTAATTGTCCTATATCTAAAATCATTTTTGTGTTCCAGTCATGGAAGTCATTTTATTACTTCAGTCTAACAATTACCTTACATCTTTTCATTATTAGCAGCAACAAATTGGGTTGGCAACATGAGTTGCGTAAGTTGCAGAATTTATGAACTGGTTATAATTAATTCCTGTTTGTTTTTCACACCATCATTCAGATTTGTTCAAATAGAAAGTCTGTTGTTAATTGGCAAAGTCCTGTTGTCCGGCATTATCAGCTAATTAAATGTTCTTGTGTTTACTCTGAAATGGGAGGAAATAAATAGACATGGACCTTACCTACAAGTGATCCTTTATCACATTGGATATTAAAATATTCAGCTAGAAAAATGCTCCTGATTTTCAGCTGAATATGGGTGCCAACATTTGATTCTAATTTACAAGCTTGCTTTGCTGCTGGACGAGTGTTTGTGGTATGCTATGCGTGGTCCTGTCCAAGATAATCTCCATCGTGATATGTTCACTCTTTATTGATATACCAGCTTAAGTTTTAAGGTAGCACAAAGAGCAATGGTGGTATACACACTGTAGTGACTTACTGTACATACCCCAGTCAGGTTTCAGTATGCTATAATCATGTAATTGAACTCAGATTAGACTCTGTGGGTTGTTACATTTATGCATTACTAAGCTCTCTTTCTTTTGCAAATTTTTTTTAAATTTTAGATTTGTATGTAAAGCAAAATCTACTTTTTTAGCTTTAGATAGAGTAGGGAGTGGTAAAGACACCTGCTATTTTTTGTTTTGTTTTGTTTTGCTCAGAGCCCTTCCTGTTATATCAGTCCAGTACACCTGAAAAGCTGTAAAGTCCTGATGAAAGGGGTCTTTTAAATACCCAAAACGTTGTCTTTTTATTAAACAATTTCCTAACAAAAAAGAAAACTGAAATTTACCCATTCTGATTCTGGCTCTTTCCTCTTTGCACATCTAGCCCTTACTTCAGTTAAGTGCCTATTGATGCCAATATTTCCTCTCAATCTAATCTTGGAGAACAGCCCTCTTCCTTGGAAAATTACCTCTGTTAAAGTTGAGCGTTTTATTCTTTCCCGTATGTGCTTGCTGTTTACAGCTAACAATAAATGAAATCATGTTATGATCACTGCTACCCTGATATTCTTTTATATGAACATTAGTAATACATTCTGCATGGTTTGAGATTACCAGGTCCAGCAGAGCATCGTTCCTAGTCGGGGCCTCTATGAACTGTACCATAAAATTGTCTTGTAATAGGTTTATGAATTTTTGTCCTTTAGCTGTTCTTGCAGTGCCATTACTTCAGTCAATTTCAAGGTAGTTAAAATCCCCCATTGTTATCACTGTCCCAGCCCTTGCAGCTCTTTTGATCTGTATAAGGAGCAGAGTCTCCATCTCCTCATTAACACTGGGTGGCCTATAACAAACTCCAGTGATTATCTTTGTAGTGCACACATCCATGTGCAGTTCCACCCATAATGCTTCAAGCTCATCACACTCTCCATCAACTAGCTCCTCTTTCACATGAGATCACTTCTCACATAGAGACAGATACCACTACCTTTCCTTTTTACCGTGTCTCTCTGAAAGAGAGCATAGCCCAGAATACTAATAGCCCAGTCATGTGAAGAATGAAGCCAAGATTCAGCAATACCAATTAAATCATACTTCTCTTTGTGCACCAAAGCTTCCAGCTCACCTATTTTGCTTGGCAGATTCCTAGCATTAGTGAACAAACACTTTCATTGTCACATTTTGCACACTGTTAAACATTAATTCCAAATTCATAATTCAGCACTTATAGGAATTATATTATATTTATGGCAAGCTTGCAAAATATTTGGTTTTTATGATTAATCATAATTATTATTAAAATGTGTGGTTGGCCTTGAACAAGTGATAGTGTTGAATTCTTCAGTTATAGCTGAGCCAGAAAAATGTCAGAGTATCTGGAGTTAAGTTAACTAGCTGGAAGGAGAGTATTTAGGACATTTCTGTAGATGGACATAGCTGGTTGGAGGATCTCTGGTATACGATGTCATGGGAGTCAGAAGTGAACCAAAATAGAATTAGTATGACATAATATATATTCTAATAGTATCTGTGTGTATTTAATTTATGTTTTATAAGTTGGTAATATGTGATACATAAGTAGATTTTTGGTTATACAACATTATTGAGATATTATGTTGTAAAGATAGATTCTTAGTTATATGATCCTTTAAACATAGAAACTGGTCACATGAGTAGGCTGATGCAACATTGTCAACTTACGAAGCCACTACATATGGGTTTTTCAATCAAAAGACCATATATGTAGTATCCACTCCCTTCAATGAAATCGCTCTACTAAGCAGGATGGTTTGCCATACAAGGTTCGGAGCTATGAGAATTATGACATCTACATGTAGCATAAAAAGACATCCTAAGAGATGCAAAGGACACACAACACATATATGAACATGTCCGTCCATTCGCACTCATACAGACACATGCAAAGCATGAAGACACTGTCATTGTTCACATATAGACAAATGGTGCCTTTTGAATACTCTGCATTCATCTCAATACACCCATATAGGGGTAATGCCTATTGATGTCT